GCAGACTCTTTCAGCCCCCTCTCCATCCGTCCATGTCAGGGCCTGGCTCCTCACCTGTGGTGACTTTGTTGAAGGTGATGGCCTCGGCCACCCTGCCCCCCAGGGCCATGCACATCCTCTCCAGCAGCTGCTCCCTGGTGAAGAGGTGCTGCTCTCGAGGGAGGATCTGAGCGAAGCCCAGCGCTGCGTTTGTCCGCGGGGCGATGGAGACCTGCAACAGAGCAGCCCCCCAGTTCAGAGACCAGCCAGCTCCCAGCCACGGCAGCAGAGGGAGGCTGGGAAGAGTCCTGCACTCCCAGTGGCATCTCTCAAAAGCCATGGGGCCAGGCTGGCCTACAGAGACATGGCCAAGGCCCACAGACTGTCACCAGCTCCTGTGCTGAAGGCTCTGCCTTCACAGCCACATGCTTTCTGCCACTTTCTGCTCAAGAAATGGAAACTGTCCTTAACAGCAAGCCAGTGAAGCCCTCAGATTTAGGAGTTGTTTTGGAGGCTACAAGCCAAACATAGCTCGCTCCACTGTGTTCCAGAATCACTGAGACTACCTAGGGAAAGCTAGGACCTCTTCAGAAAAATCAGAGGCATCTCCCCCACCCATTAAATGAGACTAATTAACAAAAGTTCAGGGTATAGGTCCTTCGGAGTGAAGTTGCCAAGGAGCTGTCACCCTTGTCATCTTCACTCCCTACCTCCTCCCAGTGTCAAGGCTTTTTGGGGAGGAGATGTGCATGGGAGAGCACACACCCAAAGGGTGGCCTTTCCCCACAGAGAAGGGCTTCAGGCAGACAAATCCCCAAGCATGCCAGTCTGAAAAACACATCCCTGCCCATCAGCATCAGAGCAGCGCCTGCAGTGGCAGCTTCAACAGCTGCTGGCACCACGGCAGCGAAAGAGATCCTGCATGCCGGGACACAGAGCAGGGCTCAGCACCTGGAGGAGGTGCATGGACTGACAGCAGGAGACTCAACTGTTCCAAACAGCTTTGCAGTTGCCTTTCCACTGCAGGGCTTCTCCTGGAGCTAGTTAATCAGCTTTGCAGCATATCTCTGTTACATGAGCCTAATAATGGATTTCTCCAGAGTGTACTTTAGGGACATGGTTTAGTGGTGGAGTTGGCATTGCTGGGTGATTCAATCTTAAAGGTCCTTCCCAACCTGAGGGATACCACGATTCTGGAGTTGCCATTTATTTTGCTGCAGTGTTCACAGCTCCAAGCTCACGGCAGCCGGGGGAACGCAGCAGAACCCATCATGAACACTACATAGCCAGCCACCTCTTGGCCCTGGGAACCCCAAAGGACTCTCCTGCACTCAGGGGCAGGTTGCACCCCACAGGAGCTGGTGCTGGAGTTACCTTCATCACTGCCTCAGTGTGCTCCAGCAGCCAGCCGACCAGGGCGTGCCCCGACTCGTGGAATGCCACCACCCTCCTCTCCTCAGGAGACAAGATTTTACTCCTCTTGGCAGTGCCTACAGGAACACGGACAAGGATTAGGCAGGATAGCCAGGAAAACGTGTAACTAGTGGGCTGAGCTCACACACTCTGTGGGTGAACAGCCAGCAAGCTTCACCCTGCACTCTTGTCTAGGGAGCGGCAGTAAAAATGAAATTAAAATTACAGTAGAAATTACCCTTCAGTTACCTGCCGTGGAAGGTGCTCCCTGTCCCTGCAGGAGAAAGCAATCCGTGCTTGGATCGCTTGAAAACACTGGCAGACAGTCTCCTCCTTACAACAGACTTAATCATTAGCCAGATAATTTAACATTTGATTAGAGCACAGGTCCAGAACGTAAAGCTCTGTTCTGTTCCCGGCTCTGCCAAAGGCACGTCACGCTCTATCTCTGCCCAGGGACAGATCTGCAACAAGTCAGTCTGCATCTGGAGAAAAAAAACCCACCCAAAACAATAAACCAAGCCCCAAAAGAGAGACTTGTTAGAGTATCACACTGATTTCACTGCCTGGTTTTCCAGTCCCTCAGGCAGAACACGAGAGAAACAAGATGTTGTGTTACATACAGGAGAGGTCCCAGCTGAGAGTCTGGAGTATTAGGAGTGTTCAAAAATACAGCAAAAGACCATGGGAATATACAAAAAAAACCAACCAAACTTTCTCCAGACCTTGGAAACGTCTCTGATTACACAAGGTATGCTCTGTATGAGCTTATTCCCAGGCTCCCAAGAACCAGCAAATTAAGCTGTAACTCACACTTAACGCTTCCTCCAAAAAAGGTGATTTTTGGAAGCATCTATTTTCCAACCAGGTTAACGCCAAAAAAATCCAATTAGGATTTAAAAAAAAAAATTAAAAGATGCTGAATGGAAGTAAAACTTCTGGCACCTAGAAACAGGTGTACTGCAGACCAGGCTGCCTGTGGGGCAGGTCTGACAGCTCTGTGTGTGGAATGCAGAAGGGTCCCGTGCTCGAGTCGCTGCCTCTGCACAGTGCCAGGAGCAGCAGGGGGGAGAGCAGAGTCAAGAGCAGCACTACACCAACCTCGCTTGATGTCTTGGAAAACAACCTTCTATTAGCATTAATTTTTAAACAAAGTCAAGAGCTTTATTAAATGAGGAAATGGCAAAATTAGTGTGGCAGATCTTGTAAAATTCTTGCTCGGGGGGGCTGGAAACGACTGTGCCCTGCAAGGCACCACGGTGAGGGAACTGCAGATTAATTGCAACGGGCTCAATTTGCATCAGTCAGCCCCTTACACTGCCTCTGGCAGTGTCTGCACACGTGCCTCACGTCTCCTCCCATAGAAGGATGTATAATGTATATATATCTATACTATAAATACTTCTACACATGCTTAACAAATTCTGGACATGTGCCTCTGTCAGCCCACCGAGGAGGGAGGGACTGCATCCTTCACAGCAGCACAGCGTGCCTGCAGAGATGATTTCTTTTTCTACATCTCCAGGCAGGGAAGTGCTCCTGTACTTCTCACATTTATGGCAGAAACAACCCCAGAAACAACTCTGGTACATCTCTGCTGACCCTACATAATGTACATGAACCCCACCGAGAAACCTGGCTTCTCTGCATCTGCTACACCAAGGGGCTGGAGCGTGGCCAGAGAAGGGCAATGAAGCTGTGGAAGGGTCTAGAGCCCAAGTGTGGGGAGGAGCTGCTGAGGGAGCTGGGGGTGTTGCGCAAAGGAGGCTCAGGGGAGACTTCTGGCTCTGCACAGCTCCTGACAGGAGCCTGGAGCCAGGGGGGGATCAGGCTCTGCTCCCAAGGGACAAGACAAGAGGCAACAGCCTCAAGTTGCCCCAGGGGAGGTTGAGGTTGGAGCTGAGGAACAATTTCTTGCCCTGGAGGGTTATCCAGGGCTGTGCCAGGCTGCCCAGGGCAGTGGTGGAGTCCCCATCCCTGGAGGGGTTTCCAAGCTGTGGAGATGTGGTGCTGAGGGACACGGGTCAGTGGGGACCAGAGAGCGGTGGGGGCACAGCTGGACTCGATGACCTGAAAGGTTTTTTCCAACTTAAAAGACTCTGATTCTAAAGAGATCCCTTAAAAGCCACTGTGCACTCCGCAGGTTCCTCCCTTGCTCCCAGGGGACCTGACTTATTGACTGCTTTCTGTTCCCAAACTGAGAACACAATGGGGACTACCACAGCGAGAAGTTCTTACTCCTCCCTTAGAGCAGCACAAAGCTGACAGGGCCTCTGGACTTGCAAAGTTCCCTTTTGATTCCACACTGCTCTTATTAAAACCAGAAGCTTATAATGGAAAGCACAGTAGTATCTTCTTTCTTTCAAGAAAAGCTTTTACAGCAACTGAAATGCCCTCTGGATTGTGAAACCCTGAAGTGTTCCTATTCCCTGTCGAGGGTGCATTTAATATATGGGCCTGGAGGGTTGTCTGGGGTCTTTCAGACTCAAGTCTGCAAAAAACACCCAAGTCCTGATAATACAAAAGGATCTGATGAAGCAACACAGAGATTTCAGGCCTCCTGCGTGCCACAGAGCCCAAATGAGGCAAGTCAGCTTGTTGACAAAAAACTGCCCCACCCTGCAGAGCCCCTGCCTCAATCCCAGACACCACTTCTGCTACTACCCCCCACAGCCTCACTTGCTTTCTACCTCCTCTTCCAAGCCTGGGGAACTAAGGCAAGGGTGGAATTCAGACAGAACAGTCAAGTTTGGTGCTTTCCCTCCTGCAGGTGGGGAAGTGAAGCAGATCTTTGCTCTGGCTGCTGAAGACTTGGGTCACAGCTTGCTGCCCAGCCCTGGAAGCTGGCTGAGTACAGCACTGGGCTTCGTGCACATGTGGCCACACTCAAAGTGTTCCAAGGGCTTTGTTTTTAAGAGGCAGGTGAAACTGTCAGAAGTTTTCTCAAAAACCTTCTCTGAAAGGAGGAAATGTTCAGGCATTTTCTGACAAAGGACACACTCGGGACTCAATTCCAGAGTCAGGAAATAACCGTCCCAGTACAAACATCCTGTTCCTCTCCCAAGACAAGCCCAGAATGCCACTCTGTTTGCCCAGGCTCCCCTCAGCAATCCCACTGCAGCCTGGGAGCAGTTAAGTGTCTGAGGAGAACCACAGCCTGGCTCCAGGGCAGTTCAGACTGAAAGCCACCAGATTCAAACAGCTTGGGTGAAATCAAGAGTTCTGG